ATTTTGTCAATTGAAGTCAGGTGAATGCCAGTGATAGTATATTTATCCATAGCACTAGATTGAGGATAATTTATGCTAAAACACCTTGCCATAGAGCAGTGGACAGATTTACGATCGCATACTGTGTAAACTGAGAAACTTTTAATTTGAAATAATGCATCTACATCTGTACCTTGTTCACCAAACAATATCAATGTTTCTTTTCATAATATGCGATGTTTCTTGACTTAGAAAACCAATGTTACTCCATGCTATATACTTGTCAATTTTATGGTAAAGTTATGGAATATATGAATTTTCCGAAATTGAACATTTGTCTGATCCAACTCTTGGTGGCGACATTTTTGATAAAGTAACATGAGGTACTATCAGCTCGGACGTTTGCTACATTCGAAAAAACTATCCAAGTCTGTCCTATCACTTATACAAACCACGTGCAAGACTTGTGTGATCACAGCCAATAATATGCATAGGGATTGGCGATTGCCAATATTTTTTAGTTATTTTTTGTTCGCAGTTAGTAATGCAGTGACTTATTTTATTTAGTATTATCAGCCTTTTTAACATTGAAATTGAATATTGAATGATATGCAGACATGTCGAGAATCAGCCGTCTCACAAAACTCCCATGATGCATGAGTAACAATTTAAAGAATCGAGGCCTTCTAAGTAAATTCGGAGTCTATGCAAGGCTTCTTACAAGATTGTGCCTGATTGGCTATCCAATCCTAAGACCTAAGAGTTGGACCAATCAGAAAGCAGCTTGTTTTATGACAGGTTTTTCGACATATCAAATTCTGCCGTGTGTATGTCCTTCGACTGTTGTCTCAGGTATTTAGAAATTACTTAATTGTGAAAGGATTAATTATTCACTGGGTTTTAATTTTGCTTATTTCGCTGACTGGAAAATGCGCTAAATTAAAACCCAGTGAATATGTAAAAATTAACATAGAACACATTATCTAAATGATAAAACCGTGAATTTAAAACCTAATGAATATGCCTGAAATGCTAAATCAGCGAAATTTAAACCCAGTGAAAATTAAACATTTTACAGTAATTGTAATATACTTTAGTGTATAAGCATGGAAGGTACTAACGGGGTAGTATTTTCCATGGTATATGTAAGCAAACCAGATAATATACTCATGTATACGGTATTGGAAGAACTGAGTTTAACGTAAAATAATCATGCTACTAGTATTATATTACATTTGGCTTTCGAGAGATGTGAACTATATAGGTATCAGAAACAGCAGAAACAGTAAAAAATCTAAGCAAATCTTCAAAACAATCTTCCCAGTAAAATTAATGGAAAATCTAACAATATAACCATCAATAAATAAAAAAAATAACCCGTTACTTGAAAACAGGTGAGGTAAAAAGATGATTTTAACATAGAGCTCCATGGAAAAGATGTGAGCCGCCCCCTACCCCAAACGCCCTCTACAGTTTGATTTTCTATCCCACGATCCTTTGCAAAATCTAATATAGAGGGGCTGTGATTCTAGACTATGAACAATGTAAAGGAATTGATCACAAGGGTCATTTGATCTTCTTGAATCCTCAAATTAGAATGTGTGTTCGTATTCCTTGGTGATTCATTTAAGAAAAAAAAACGTGCTAAAGAGACTCAAATTGTCATAATGAAATGTTTAGGCAGTTAGATTTTATACATGGAATTTCTCTTCGAAGAAATTTTTTTGTAAAATAAGGGCAGGATGGC